GACTGTTTGCCGCCGGGGAGGCTTGGGTTGGTGTTTGGGCCCATTTATTTGCAGGTGGGGTCGTTGACTCGGCCAATGAACATCAGGCCACTGGTGCTTTGATGGTAGATGATGAAGATGAAGGGTCTGTTGAATGTCAGTCGAGGAGGAGGTGAGGAGAACACTGCATCTCCGGCGCTGGTGTCACTGCTGCTCTCTTCAACGGAGATGACGGACGTATGATACACCTGAGTGGAGAAGAAACCACAGCAGAATCTCGATTATTTAAACCAGGGTTAGGCACCTCCAGGCCTCGAGTGCCGGTGTCCTGGAGGTTTTAGATGTGTCCTTGATCCAACACAGCTGATTTAAAGGGCTAAATGACTCCTCAGCATTTCTTGAAGTTCTCCAGAGGCCTGGTAATGAACTAATCATTTGATTCAGGTGTGTTAACCCAGGGTGCGATTCAAAACCTGCAGGACACCGGCACGCGAGGCCTGGAGTTTGACACCCCTGATTTAAACCTTTCCTGAATAAATCAACACAGATGTCATCATCAGGTGATCAAATCTCTGTGACCATGGACACTCTAAAATATGGACGTAATGTCTGGGTCTGAAAAGTGAAGCGAACACTGAAATGACTTAAACCTGTATTCTCTGTAATGGCAACTTGAAGGAGATAACTGAGGGCAAAAAGGTTTCTAGTCCTTTATGAAATTTGGTGGTGAAAAGGGCTTCCTGACCTCTGACCACAGTTCAGGGCTCAGTCCTATGTTTCAGAAAGGATGATGACCCAGGGGACGCTTGTGATCACATAAAAAGTGATTGACCGGCAAATTTTTACCCCTTTTGGCTGGATGTTAGATGCTCCAGGCTCTTGTTTTTTTGTTTTTGTTTTTTTATTTATACAGCGCCAAATCTCAGCAACGGTTGCCTCAAGGTGCTTTATATTGTAATGTAGACCCTACAATAATACATACAGAGAAAAATCCAACAGTCATATGATGCCACTTTGGCAACAGTGGGAAGGAAAAGCTGGTAAAAACCATAGGCCCACCCCAGTGCATGCTGGTCCTATACCAGTCCTTTTACTTACAGAAAATGGTCCTAGAGTTCTTCCTACCTGACTTAACAAGATAAACAATAACAACAAAAAAAGAAAAAGAAGTATTAACCTACAAATTAAACTAGCAAACAACCCGAAAATATGAGTAAACCAACAACAAGCTTTAACAAATTTCAAAAATAATAAAAATAAAGAATAAATAGCTCCAACACCTGGAATTACAGGTTTAACCATAAAGAGAATTTATTCTGAACTCTGCCCTTTGATGTCATCACAACCCCCCTCCAGGTGGTTGTGATGACATCACAACCCCCTCCAGGTGGAGATGCCTCATATCCAAACAGCTCTTAATGTGGCAGACACTCACCTGTTTAAGTTTGGACCCTTCAGCTCCACCCATGTTGCTGAGGTCAGCGTCATCCTGAAACACCTGGGTGATGTCAAGAGTCTGCAGTGCATCCTTAAGTGAGTATGAACGGTCCAATGAAAAGCGAGGAAACTGTACCTCCAATTTCCTATTTACAAAAGAAGAACATTTATTTCCTGGTTTTAATTAAGAAGCCAGTGGGAGGAAGAACAGTATAGGAGGGAGGACGGAAGGAAGGAAGGAAGGAAGGAAAGGAAAGGAAAGGAAAGGAAAGGAAAGGAAAGGAAAGGAAAGGAAAGGAAAGGAAGAGGGCCTCACGTCTTCTTTAGCTGGCGGATCCAGGCCTGGATCTTATCAGCCGTAACTTCCTCCTCCACGGCGGTGACGTCCACACCTTCATCGGGAAGCACGGCCAACATGGCTGCGCCGTCTGTCATCGGCAGCTTCAGCACGCCAGCCTTCACCGCAGCATCGTACGCCAGCAAGTACTTATCGGCCCTAAACATCATCGGAACCATGACGACATGATAGCTATCCACATAGAACCGCTCGTCCTGAGTGGACGACGCATTAAAGGGCGGAGTGAAGCTTGCTGAAACACACAGAAACTTTATTTGAACATATTATTGAGACAAGCTGCAGTTCTTCTGACGTCCAGCAGAGGAGTCATGCACAGGACTGTTAGTGACCTACGGTATTAACGTCCTGACACTTTAATTGGTGTGGAGATTTTAAGCATGTTGATGCGGACTCCATGCTATCGGCATACCGGCAGAGCGTGGATCAAGAACACAGGACAATCAAAAGAGCTGTCACACCTTAGTTCAAAGACTGAGGAGGTGGAGTTGTGGAGCCTCGCAGGACTGCTTCAACACTCTAAGTCCTGCCCTCTGGCAGATGATACATACCTCTGTAGGCTGTAACGGCGGCGAGCAGCAGCTGGGTCTGATGGTCCACTTCGGAAATGAAATCCTGGACCTGGTCTACAGTCTGCTCCAGCGCCCACTGGTTGATGGTGTTGATGGCTTCATAAGCATTTGTGTAGTCCACACCCTGAACTGTGCCTCCGAGCTTGGTCTGAACCAGGTTCAGGTAGGATGAGGCCACTTGGACACTCTGAGAGGGGAAGATGGCCGCACCCTGCTGCAGAGAGACTGTCGGAATGGCGTTCCTCAGAGTCTGAAACACATCTGAGCACAGGAGCACCACTTAGAACCTGAACCACAACCAGAATCTGGTGACCCTTGACCTTAAACCCACCTGGGAGTGTCTGAGCGTCCAGCCTGGTCAGCGTAAGTCCCGCCTGCAACTGCTCGCGGGTCTGTCCGTTGGTGGCACTCAGCAGCACTGTCAGAGCAGCAGACAAAGTGAACGGACACAGTAGGACGTTCTCGTCAGTGCGGGCGGCGAGTACTCGGTACAGACGGGCGCCAAAGTCCGCGTTCCTGCTGATCAGGTCCTGCAGAGCACTGGTCTCTGAGGAGGCGGGGCTTAGCAGGAGTACGAGGACAATGCTGACCAATGAGATGGGGCCCGGGTGAGTCATGGCGTCCTGCGTGTTAGATAAACAAAGCCTGAACCTGTGCTGTATACCTGGGGTCCGTTCTTCGTACCTCGCTTACTACATCCAAGATCAAATGACACATCCAAGATCAAATCATCGCGTCTACTTTGACCTCGCTATCCCGGTTCTCCGAACACACCTGTTGTTGACGATTAGTATAGCTGGATGAAGTAATGTGAGATCACTGGGTGGCTTAACAGGGGCTACGCATCGATAGTAGAAACATTGATTGGCAACCCTTTGATTGGTC